GGAGCTGGACAGGTGGGAGCTGAAGGGATGGGAATGAGATAGGTCAGAGCTGGACAAGCTGGTGGGATGGGAGGGGGACAGATGGGAGCTAGACGGATGGGAGCTGGACAGGTGGGAGCTGGACGGATGGGAGCTGGACAGGTGGGAGCTGGACAGATGGGAGCTGGACAGGTGGGAGCTGGACAGGTGGGAGCTGAGACGGGGGACGGAAACCTAATGAGATCATATGACAAAGGAGGAAGACTCGAGACCTTAACAGGTGAGACGGCATGTCTGCTGGTCGCCGTATGGAGGACGAAGCTTGACACAGAACAGGTGGAGGGGAGGGAAGAGGATGTGGAGCCTGAAGAAGAGGAGGTGGAAGGTGAGCAGCTGGTGGTGCAGGACGAGGAAGAAGATGAGGCCTCCTCCTTCGTTCCCTGCTTCTTCTGCGGCTTCCACCTGAATTGGAACTGAGAGACTTCGGAGGAGGGAGGAGGAGGAGGAAAATCCAACTGAGTGGATGTAAACTGTTTCAGCTGAGCTTGACCGTTGACTGGAGCAAGTGATTGGGGAGGAGTAGAGGAGGAGGAGGAGCAGCTGGAGGATGCAGGAACTCCAACAGGTGAGGCTGCATCACTGCAGGTGCCATTCAGGGGGTGGGGCTTGCAGGTGGGACCAGGAAAGGGGAAGGTGGAGGACAATCTGAAGGATGGATTTGTTGGGAAGGGAGAAGGCGACGGATTAGACTCCTTAAATGTGGCATCTGGAACAGGTGAAGCGCTGTGATTGGTGGTCACAGCTGGAGGAGGAGGGGAAGGTTCTATGTTCTCACTGGAGTTTTCCAGCACATTAAAGGGGATCCATGAAACACTGAGCTCACCTGGAAACCCAAAACAGCCAGTTTGTCATCATTACATCGCTACGTTCAGCCAATCAAAAAAAATACAAACGCATGATGTCATTAGGTAAATCTAATATTTTTAAAAAGACATCTCTTTTTCAACCCGCTGAAGCCAAGGCAGCAGTTTGTGGGTGTGGTTTTGTTTTATGTCTCCTTACAAGCTGTTTCTGTTTTCAGTCTGAAGACGCAGAAAACACTGGAACAGCCTGAATCCACAGAAGAGATGTGGCAAATTTATGATCTGATGTCTCCCTTTTCTGCACTTTTACAATTAATTAAAAAAAAGAAATTCTGAAACCATCCGTACGAAAATTTAGACCCAGACAGGACAATAAATGAAAAACGCACACAAAGGGAATGCAAAATTATACTATATTAAAGTATGTATAAGTCCTTCCACAACTGATATCGCAGCTTACCAAAGTGTGAGATGGTTTCCAGAGCCTGTTGGTCAGCGACGACCTTCAGCTGGGTCATTGTAGGAGGAGGAGACAAGTCCTGAACCAGAAGATCCTTCAGCTGAGCCTTAATCTGAAAAAAACACAGGAAAAGCTGACAGTGGTTCCTGAACTCTGCTGAAGGCCAAGTTCTGTCTGAGTCCCAGAAAAACAAAAGGCTATAGGCGATCAATGAACACATGAGCAATTCTGGTATATTTAGAACCACAGTGAGCTCTGACTGCTGTTACTGAGCACTGAATGTTTCTGATTAATTGACAAGAGACGCATGTTTGTAAATCATTTATCAAAGAGGCTGCAAAAGCAGTAAAAACTGTAATACTTCAACATTTTATTCTACATTCATTTAAAAACTCTGCAAAAAGTAAACTGTTTGCAGTAACCATCCATCCAGTATCTATACACCGCTTAATCCTCACAAGGGTCGCGGGGGGGCTGGAGCCTA